CATAGCTAGCTAGGTTAGAACTTTGAATCCCTTTTAACTACTATAAATGCATTTTTTAAAAATATGAATAAACCACAAAACCAGAAAGTTTTCTCAACTTTTTTGCAGCCCTAAAATGCATGTATAAGCGCTTTTGGGCCTTTTTACAGACCGAAATGACAGATTTCCCTACCCTTTCAATAAAATACTTCAACTAGTGAAATTCCTACCCTTTCATATACATGTACCTATAGCTTGAAAAAAGTAACCCTTTGGGGCCGAGTCTCCCCGTAAAGGTTGTTATACAGGGAGTATCCCCCTGGGCTTTAACCCACACAGTCCATGATTTGAATAATGTGTGCAAGGGAGACTACACCACTGGGGAAATGCCCCATCCTCTTTTCGAACAGTGACGTGGGTTCTTCCACATCCTCTTCCATTCAAACAACTAAAAAGGATGAAGGAGACAATCAATCATCCAGTAACCAGACACACTTGTTTGTGTCAAAACATAAAGTACACTTACTGCCCTTCCTTGGTTTGAAGTTCTTGTTCCTTTTGTCGTAAAGCATTGTTGACGTCCAACAACTTTTGTGCATTCTAAATCAAAACAAAACAATATTAACATGACAAAGTCAATACCAGGGCTTGAACTAACTGCCAATACATATTAATATTACCTGTGCAAGTACATATATGTCTTTTGGCAAGCAGTTAGAGATATATACTTGTAGTTTAATAAGTTGTGGTTCAGTTTTATCCCTTGTTTAAATTATTGTTATTTTTCCTTGTTTATAGTATACATTATCATACCTAGAAACAAATTATCAAATCATTATCAAGGTTGTTCCAGGGTGTAGCACTCATATATTAGATGAACTTCTATACCATATCTGTCCCGGATACCAGCACAAAATAGTGTTCTGTTCACACCTTGAGTACCTGATGTGAGTAATTCTGTAGTTACTCTGTTTCACCCAGTTAAACGCCATTTTGAAACATAAGCTTAGAGCAAGTATAAAGCAGTGGACTGCCCCAGAACTACCAAAACCAAGTCCACACAAAGACCCAGTGCCTTTTGACTTTTGTGCTTGCGACCTTGCCTGAATTCTAGCATGGGTACTTGAAAAAAGGGTGTGCTCACATTGGTGCCCATAGGGTACTGTACTCCAGCATGGACTTAGGTACTGTGCCTACGCAGATAGTGTGAACACTGCCATACCATACCTCTCCTCTTTGTCTATGAAGCTCAGTCACTTCCTCTTGTAACTTGAAGAGCTTCTGTTCCAACAGAGCTATTTTTTCTGATCCAGCCCCACCCCCGGCACCACCTCCTGTTAAACTAAAAAAAGGACAAAAGAATCGAGTGTAAATTAAAAGCATAAGAAAGGAGCACAGGAAAGTGAAGTGAAGATTATTTTACGATAAATCGCAACATAATGAACAGATCTTAATGATCTTAGAAAATTTATTCATTATTTTAGTGGGTAGTACCTTAATTCTTGAACACGTCCCTGAAGCTCAAGTTTTTCCTACAGAGTAAACAAAGCATTTTAATAACAGCAAATTCTGAAATTCAACAGCCAGCTTATAATAATTGCATTTTTGCTACCATCAACCATAATTTATTACGATCACAACCAATGAATCTTGAAACACAGAAATACACAAAATGGATTGAAATCCACCAATCACAAATCACAAACTATGACCTTTTGAACTTGTTGAAGTAAAATTCCGTTTCCTATACTAGGAGGTTTGCTATGATCGACGACAGCAAAGAATGCAAATGGTAATTACAGTAGTTGGCTTTTGAAACTTAGAGTTCAAGTTTTTTTGCAAAGCACAGTAAATTTTAAACAGATGAATGATCCATTAGGGTTGAAATTTGTTAGTATGTTTGAAAAGTTCCATAACTGGCAACAAAAATGAAAATTGTTAAGACAGCTCCCTACAGAGGGGAATTTTTTTACAATGTACAATGGCCCAACCCCATGTCAATGTTGAATTTTTTGTTCCTGCCCACAGGTCTCATGACCAGTGGCGAAATAATGATTATGTAACATACAAAAAGGTGAATCACAGGCTGTGATTGGTCAGTCACTCTTTTACCATCTGCCTATGGGTAAGGGTTGACAAAAGCCAGAGTACGCCCTAGGTAGTATGTTTCAATTTCCATGCACCTACCTTTTATTTTTATCTTACGTTTCAAAGAATTTTCATCTTGATATTGAGAGAAAGCTTAAGATAACATAAAAAAAGGTTTTAGAGTCAACATTGAAATAGAAAACTACATATTCACTGGAAAGAGTTTTTTGAAAGATTCTTTTGCATAAATATTATTTATTTATAATAATTATTTAATAATTATTATTAATTATAATTTATCTATTTATTTATTTATTGATTATTATTGTCCATGCAAGCCTTGACCTAATTCCATTGCATTCACTGAACAAGGAAAGGTCTACAACAATTTTCTTTCATGTGGGATGTATATTTCTTTTGGACAAGAAACAGCATGCTCACCTGTTGAAGCTGAACAACCTGTATTTCCAGTTGAACTAATCTTGATTTAGAAGTATCCGCACTTTCAAACAGTTTGTTGTCTGTTGCAAAAATAAATGCATAAAATCAAAATGATGATTCTTACTTGCTACAGTGGAAGCTCTCGTCAAGGACAATCTTGTAAGCAGTCACAGCTCTACTAACGGCCACCCTCACAAAAGGTGTGCAGAATGAGGCAAAACATTTCCTTATTTAATCTTTTGTTTTTTAACACTGTTGGTATTGTCAAGTCAAGTTGGCTAATCTTTTTACTTTCTTTTCTTTAGAGGAAGCAAACCATAAATTTGTGTGTACCGTAATATTATATCCTTAAATAATAGCCGTCCCTTGATTAATCACCTCCCTCGAATAATCCCCCACCCCGTTCCTAGACGGAAATATTGAAAATGATTGCCTCCCTTTAATAATTGCCCACCCCCATCCCGATTGCCATCTTTTCTTCCCTGTCAAGTTGAAGTGGAATCTGATCCAGCAAAACTGATCAGTGACGATTCAAGCTCTGACGCAGATGACATTGACACTGAAAATTAATCAAGTAACCAAATTTGGAACAGTTAGAAATTCCATGTTCAGTTTGTTTGACGTGATCATTTTTTCATTTATTGGGATAAAAAAACACCAAAATATTTAGGGCATGACTTCCAGTGAGCAAAATTTGAAAGAATTGCCTCCCTCAAAATGTCACCCCCTTTTTTGTGCAAAAAAATTAATAAAAATTTGTTTTTTAACACTGTTGGTATTGTCAAGTCAAGTTGGCTAATCTTTTTACTTTCTTTTCTTTAGAGGAAGCAAACCATAAATTTGTGTATACCGTAATATTATATCCTTAAATAATAGCCGTCCCTTGATTAATCACCTCCCTCGAATAATCCCCCACCCCACTCCTAGACGGAAATATTGAAAATGATTGCCTCCCTTGAATAATTGCCCACCCCCACCCCCACCCCACTTGCCATCTTTTCTTCCCTGTCAAGTTGAAGTGGAATCTGATCCAGCAAAACTGATCAGTGACGATTCAAGCTCTGACACAGATGACATTGACACTGAAAATTAATCAAGTAACCAAATTTGGGACAGTTAGAAATTCCATGTTCAGTTTGTTTGACGTGATCATTTTTTGATTTATTGGGATAAAAAAACACCAAAATATTTAGGGCATGACTTCCAGTGAGCAAAATTTGAAAGAATTGCCTCCCTCAAAATGTCACCCCCTTTTTTGTGCAAAAAAAATAATAAAAATCACCCCTCGCTATTATTATTATTATTATTATTATTATTTTTTATTTCAATATTTATCCAGGGGCATCCAATTTAGCAGAGCTAGTTTAATTGGAGCCCTGACGAGGAATGGTACATTGCACACAATAAACCAGGAGATTAAAGGGAACAGCTAAGTTGGAATAATAACAATGTTTTACACAGCATTTTTAGATAGAATTTGCTAACAACAATGATGATGGTTAGGCCATGTTTCATTACAATACAAGGTTAATGTGTATCATATGCTTTGCAATGAAATAGCATGTCATCATCCATGAACCAGCTATACACGAAAAGCCTGCATGTTGTTCAAAAAAATATATATACAAGAAATGAATTCAACAATATAATTATTTCTTTGAAAATTGTCCATTTTTCCATTTCTTCCATATATAAAACAATACGAAAAATTTTCAATTTTGACAGCGTTGTAGTTAAGCTTGAACATAATTTTGTTTTGGTTTCCAAGAAGTCTCGGTGCAAACACTCACGTTTCGTTAATATTTTGCGATCAAAATCTTTCACTTTTAAATTTTAGCCAAGGCTTGACCTGCTCTTTTTTATATTAATTTTGTGGTAAAAATGTTGCAGCGACAGGAAATATTTGGAGTTCGAACCGGATTTCATCAAGAGTTGGCACGATATCATTTTTCTTGCATTGACAAGTGCAAAGGCTTTATTTTATTAAAAGTATTCGATCTGTTCAAGGAAAGTCTTAAATGACTAGATTCCATCCTCTTTACTCCAAATGAATCATATAATGCATATAGCATTTTTGAATCCTGTTGACCTCAACTTAAGTCTCTGATGAAAAGTTCCGGAAACAAATCTGTTTAACTTTAAATGATATAGCTTCAGCATAACAGAAAATTGTGCGAACAGACAGTCAGCTTAAATTTGCTTGGTTTATCACATTCTAACGAGGACAGTAGCACTTGAGCTTTGACTTACGTTCCCTTATGACGTCTTTAAAGCAGTGCCACTCCAGACGATCTCTTGCTTCTAATCGTTTCGATATTTTTTTTCTCCAACTAAGTCGTTCCCCTCCCGCCATCTTGAACGACTGGGATTGATCGTGCAACTTCATCCGCGTGACTCCTTGTGAGACATGGTGCCGAAGAGGTTAGTGAGCCTGCAGAAAAAAGCGGTTTTTCTGCTATACAGCCACGTACTTTATATACGGTTATCTATTAGTTTTCCAAACACAATGGCGGACAAGTCTTGTCGCCTGTTAGAAGGCAAACAGGCAAGCGATTTTGTCGCTTCTATGGATGCTTTTATTTTTGATTGCGATGGTCAGTGAACAAAGCAACTTCGTAGATAATGAGGTGTAAGATTTCAAAGCTAATAATAATATTTTTTGTCTTAATTATTTCACAAATTCTTTAGGGGTGCTTTGGAACGAAGCCGGCCCTCTTGACGGAGCAGTTGAAGTGTTACAAGAACTTCGAAAATTGGTAATAATGAAACTAAGAGTATTTATCACAAAGCATTTAAAGGAATCCCCCTAATGGTGAGGTGTTTCTGGCCCGGACCCTTTCAGACATTTTTCCTGGGATATGCGCCTTTTAGAAATCAACATTTATTATTAAAAGCGCTCATTATTTTTGTTACATACCTCTCTTAAAATGCGGCAATGTTAATTGTCCCCTTCAGAAAAGAGGTTCTACAGCACTCTTCTTAAGAAGCTAGAAATAAATATTTGTATTCACCATCCCACTATAAATTATGTAACACTTCCCTTTATTCCTTCAGAAATTTTGTCTCGGTATTTTCACCCGTAGAAATTAACATTTTGGTTAAAAATTCTTTTCGGAAAAGTTTCTCTCTTGGTATTGACCCTGATCGCCTGAGGGGTGGGGGGGGGTGGGGGAGTGGATGCAAAATGGAATGGTTAGGAATGGCCCCCATAGAACAGGCACTAATAAGAGCTGGAGAGGTGGAAGGTTGGAGATTCGAAGGGGACTGGGGTGAGGTTGCTCCATGGGTATGATAGTGGGGATTTATGAGGCCCTCCTGGGGGGAGGGGGGTAACGTATGGCCCTTGTCTTTCAAAACCTGTCATTTCACATATTGAAGAGGAAGCCATGTCACTTTTTGATATTTTATTATTTTTAATTGCACTTTTCTCTGTGGCTGTCGCAGTTTCAGCCCATCTTTGTATCATTTGCCACCATTTCTGCTGTCCAATGTCGCTGTTTCAAGCTCATGTCACTTGTTGGAATTTGTCTTTAACATGGCCTCATTTATCAATTCCAATGAAAGTTTCTTCTTATATGATTGTGTCTCGTGTCCTCTATTTTTCTTCAGAGTAGTACTGCTCTGCTTATTTGAACTGCTATTCCATGTGCCGAACAGGCCTAGGAATGGATAGGATTCAAAAAACTTATGTTGTTTTTGTTTGATATACCTTCATAAAGTTTTTCTTCTGAATTTCATCCTACCTCTAGGGAAAACAGGTTTTCTTTGTTACTAATAACAGTTCCAAGTCAAGAGCAGAATATGTCAAAAAGTTTGAGAAGTTTGGAATTCAAGCTAGCATGGTATGGTCATTTTCAGTAAATCTTTCTGGAGTTTACACAGTCTCTTAATAATCTTGTTTTATTTTTATTTCTATTGGTGGTGCTTAAATTTGATGAATGTGTGGAGCAAAACATAGAATGAATTATGCTTTCTTTTCAGATTAGTTTGTTTAAGCCATATGAGATCATTGCAGCCCTCCCTTATGCCACTGTGAACTGAATGTTGTCCAAAGGGTAGCCTGGTAGCATTGGGTAGACTGGTTAACCGGGTAGCCCAGGGATACCTGAGGGGGTAGGGTGGGGTTATAAGGGGGCATGTCCTTTTGAAAGGGGTGGGGATGCTTGTCGTACAATAATTGTAGTTAAGCACCTGAATGAGAGCAATCTGGGCCTGGCTTGAACTTAAAATTACCCCTAAAGGATACCATTTTAAACATACAGGCCAATGATCTGTAGTAATTTAAATTGAGATTGTCTGATAAAGATGTGTATGTTATATGACACTCCATAATACTAGTAATGCAACAGAATGTTCCAGGTAGGGTCATTACATTACAAGTCTAGTCTCATGGAGGTGTCTACGTACTCCGTTGGGTTTGGGCCCAAGCATACATGTGCAGTCCTTTGTCTGTTAAAGGGGAAGGGTGGGGGGGAGGTTGCAGGTAGGCTTGGGTCCAGTAAAAAAATCTCCAAAAATGGAAAGTATTCTATGTTTAGTAATATAATAGAAACTGAGTTTCCTTCCTGTCCATATAGGAGGAAATTTATGGAACTGCGTATGCTGTGGCATTTTACTTAAAGGAGATTCTCAAATTTGATAAGAAAGTTTATACTGTTGGCACGACAGGGATGGTGGAAGAATTTGATGCCTTGAAAATTCCTCATACTGGTTCTGGAGTAAGTCAGTTTTTCGTTAATTTTAATAAAAAAAACCAGAAGTGAGGTTCTTTGCGGAACCCTATACGAGTAGGATTCTGTCATTCCTCTTAGATAGGCAAGATCAAGGCTTGTTCTCCAGGGTTAGTAACTGTACTTGTAAAAAAATCAATTCTTTTCTTTTCTTTTTTATTTTTATTCTCTTAGTTTAACCAAAGTTTAAATATATCTTTAAGTTTCAGACATTTTTCCACGTGCTAAATGCAGTTTATGGAACAGATCACCTACTCAGCTCGCCCAATGTTACTAAGTGTGATTAATTTTGCAAATACATTCTATTAAAGCTTCTTCAAAAGTTATAGCCATATGTATAAAAAAAAAAGAAGAAAAAAAGTGCGATTTCCGACAGGGGGGATGGAAAACTCATTTTTTTTCTCTTTTCCTTTGTATATGGCTATAGTGTCAGTCCCCTGTCAACATTTTTTCTCTTTTTCAGCCAGATCAGTCCTCGGGTGGTTACAACGTGAAAGAGTGGTCAACATTAACACTTGATCCTGAGGTAGGTACTAAGTCTGATTATGTCGTTAATTACCACTATGTTAGCCTATCTACAGGATGTTTTTCTGCATGAGAGTGAGACAGAGCAGGAGAACAAGCATGAGGCAAGAGAAAAAAGGAGTGGGATTTTTCTCCACTCCCACTCCCTTGCACTTATGGTCAATATAAATCCCCACAGTTTTTATTCCATAAATATGCTCTACGATCTAAAAAGAAAAAATAGAAAATAGAGGGTCTGTGAGTAGACGACCACAGTGTACACTCTCTTGAAAAATTTATCAGTAATTTTTCTTTTTCCTCTTTAGGTTGGAGCAGTTGTTTGTGGGTTTGATGAACACTTTAGTTATCACAAACTTATAAAAGCAGCAAGTTATCTTGCCAAAGACTCCTGTTTATTCATTGCAACAAATCGTGATGACAGATTTCCATTTAAAGGCAGTGATGTTGTTGTTCCAGGTATTTGTGTTGTTTAGCAAAATAATATTTCTGACCCTTTGGGGGGGGGGAAGGAGAAGGGATGGGATACTCAACAAAATCTTACACAGGAAGGCTCCCTCCTTAGGTCCAACCCTTTACGCTTAAATACTGTTTTGGAGACAAAAGGTACCCCTTTTATAGGTACCTTTTATTGTCAAATTGCACCCTCTTCACGTACATGCTAGTTTAAAAAGCTGTATCCCTTTTAACTGCTGTAAATGCACCATCTTTTAAATATAAATAAATAACACTAAACTAGGAGGCCATAAAATGCACCTGCTAGCCCTTTCAGGTCCTCTTACAAACCATGATAATGGCAGATTTCCCTACCCTCCCTACCCTTTCTTATACTTCAACTAGTGAAATCCTACACTTTTGGGCGGAGCCTCCCTATATAGGCCATACTCCTTCCCCCCCACCCCTTGCCCAGGTTACCCCTCCCTAACAACTGTTTTGCTTGAAGGCCTATCCTACTCTTCTGGAAATAAGAGATGCTGTCTCCTCGATCAAAATCCTAATAGAACCCTTCCCCCATCAAAAAATCCTTTTTCCCCTTTGAGAATTTTCCTCACTTGAGTTCATTATTAACAGTGACTATTCATGGAAGGAGTAATGAGTAGGGAATCACTACCATGACGGTAGTTCGGATCTGGGATCTTACCCACTATTTGTCTTAAGCCCTTTCAATTTTTCATGTTTTATTCCATAATTTTGGCATGTGATAGGTCATGTTACCCCCAGCTGCAAAGGGTCTTACTGAAATTCAAAATGTTTCATTCTGTAGGCACAGGTTGCTTTGTGATTTCTGTGGAAACAGCAGCCAGAAGAAAAGCAAAGGTCATAGGGAAGCCAGAGAGATATATGTTTGATTGTATGAAATTACGGTAAGAACAAAGAAAGAACTTTAAATTAACTTGTCTTTCAGTGTTTGGGGTTACATTTTCAGGCAAACTGCACAGTCAAAGACATTTAAATCTTGTACTCATTCTCCACTAGTAGTAGACAGGGGGCTATTAAAACAAGATAGCAGTGAGAAAAGGTAAAAAGGTAAAGGCATACATGAGCCAAAGGCCCAAATGGCCAGAGCTTATCCTGGTTTCCTTAGCATGAAGCATAGGAGTATTACTACTCCCCCTGGACGGTATGCTAGTCCATCACATGGCAACCCCCCAGGAGTATGTGGCTGGTACCTATTTTTACACCTGGGTGAAGAGAGACAAAGTGGAGTAAAGTTCCTTGTCTAAGGAAGCAACGCAATGGGCGAGGCTTAAACCCTGGACCTCCAGATCGAGAGTGCAAGGTGTTAACAGCTTGGCGGCCACACATGCCCCCACAGAAATGGGGGTAGAAAAAGACCCCACCAATTTTTTTCAGCAGAGTAGTGGGGATCCTGTCTATGTACAATAGTTTTGACCACTTCCCTTACTGCATTTTGTGGTAGAAGAAAGTGGCTTCTAATCTTAGGAATCCTTTGATACTTGGGTGTCCTGATCAAGGTACTCAGGGCTAACTGGTCTTTTTACAATTTTTTTCATCGCTTTTCTGCCTTTTTGACACCATTTTAAATTGTCATACAACATGCATGTAATACATTCACATGTATCACCATTTCACAAGGTTCAAATCAGATCAGGTGCAACTGTCAAAAGGACAACTGAAGGTTTCTCATCCTAGGTTCATTCCTCAGCTCCAAACCTTTGTAGTGCTAATTATGTTAAAATCCTTTTTACAATAGAGCATTCTTTGATCTACTTCTCATTGTTATTGACTATAGTCAAAGGTGAATAAGACATTTTAAAATAAAAAGCCATCCACGCAGAGGGCTTAAGAGAAATTTAAAAAATGTTTTCATGACCTAGTTTACCTTGTTTTAAAATATTGGTTTACTGTAAAGCCAAGAAAACTCGAACACACTCACTAATCTATGATTGCTACTAGCAGTAAAAGTGTTTTCTTGGCGGTTGGAGGTTAACCTTGCATTACTTTATTGTCTTTCATCAGTCATGACATCAACCCATCACGAACCTGTATGATAGGCGACAGGTGAGTTAAAACCTCTGAGACACAACTTTATGGTGACTTAAACCCAAGATACAAAGGCAGCTTGCCTGAGCAGTCAGAGCGCTGGACTTGTAATGTAGAGGCCCCCCGAGTTCAAGTCCTGCCCTGACCAATAGCTGGATTTGTTTCTCGGTAGTCCTAGTCCCGAGTTCAAATCCTTGGCCACGCTTGGTTCACCTCCTTCCTACCAGCTGGGATTTTTAGCCAATGCATGTTATATTCCTTTTAAACATTATCTGTTTTATTTAATCCCTGAAAAGCCCCATAAGGGGAGAGGATATTATTAAATCATTATTAATTAGTATTATTATAATTATAATAAAAATTCCAAGACAAAAGACAGCAGTAAAAGATCTTTGAAATGTCACAAAAATTTTGCCATGGGCTTGACATTTCATAAATCCCGGAATCCGTTTACTAGTTCCTCATACTCAGACCTCTTTTGGGGCCTTATCACGTTCCTCCTCATCGACACTGTGGCTCCTATGCTGACATTGTTAGGGCAAAGGAGCTATGTGAGGAAGCCCTATAAAGAACATTAGAGTATGTAATACACTAAGAATCCATTTACTGCACTTCACAAGGTTAAAGGGTATCCAACAAGTGAACATAACATACATAGAGGACATTACATGGCCGCTTGTTCTTCTTGTGTTGAACAATATTTCATGAGCGAGTGCAGTGATTGAGTGTGATATTTTTCAACACGAGAAGAGAAATTTTTTATCTCCAAGCGACCATGTAATGTTCTATTTATTATATAAACACCAATGAATGCCAAATCATTTCACTTAAATAGATTTTTACTGTGAAAGGCGCAATGTATTATGTAGCCATAGCAATGGTGATCTTTTCACATGTGAAAATAACATGTTGTTTTCATGTGTGAAGATATCATGTTTTCGCACGAAAGCTGACCAGGTATTTTCATTGGTGTTTATGCAATAAAAGGTATTATAACCCCTGATCATACTTTACTGGGCTGACATCATAATTTGATTGCTTACATTATTCTAGACTGGGAACAGACATACTGTTTGGAAACAACTGTGGCTTAACTACCATTCTAATGCTGTCTGGAATCTCATCTCTAGCTGATGTGAAAGACTGTCAGACTTCTAGTAATCTCGATGATAGGAAGTCTATTCCAGATTTTTATATGCCAAGTATTGAGGCTCTTAAAACACCCATAAAACATGTCAGTAATGCAGCTAGTTAGCAACTAGTAGGTTAGCAACTCTCATAAAGATTTTTTTGGGAAATAATCTGTGAGCTTCATCTGTGGGGATGTTATAGAAAATAATAAAGACTAAAATAATACCAAGACTGAAAACATCTTTTCTGTTAACAATTTTTTATTATACAAAGGGCTCTTACAAAATGGAAATTACAAAAAAAATGTTCCCAGTGGCCCCGGAACCAGGGCATTGCAGAAATATTTTGTTTTGTAAACTGACTAATGTTGGATCGTACTTAACATTTTTACACTGGATTCAGTTAAGTAAGAAATTACTTGTGCTTCTCTTGGAGTTAGCATGCATAGCAGTCGTTTCTGTTTGCCTTATTCCTTCTTGTGGCTCCTCCACTTCCCCCACTTGGTCAAAAGGAAACAGAACAGACTATTATACAGGCTGGCCATCTTGCAACTGGAATTGAGCGATAGAATTCTAGACCAATGTCTGGGGAAAACAATAACACTTTAAGAAACAATACAACACCTTTGACATTTTGAAATGATAATATTATTTTCAGCATTTGCCAACATCACCTCACAAAAAGTATAAAACATCTGAATAACAACATAAGCAACTGTTGAGATGACTGTTGAAAATAAAAGTTAATGCTTTGTGTTGTTTCTTAAATTTTCATTTGCCTCCTTCTATCAAAAAACTTATCAAAACATCAAATGTTTCAAGGCAAGTTGAAGTTCTTGATCAGGGCTGTCACTAATAAAGAACAGGGGCCAGGGATTTCCTTGGCTACTGTGGCTACTTTAATAGAAATCAAAAGGAAACTAGAACAAAAGAAATTCTAAGCTTTTAATTCTCCTCCTATTAATTGTATATACCCAGCAACTTGAAATCTTAGTGGCAGCCCTGTCTTGATATGGTAAACCTATAGGGAAAGTCAAGAACAAAAACTTAACAAGGTGTAAGTTAACACTGGTAATCTGTTACAAAATGCCTTTAGTTATTCCCCTTTAATAAACCTGTACAGTATTATTTTGACAAAATGTGCACTGAGTGACCTGTTTTTGTTGTTGCAGAATCAGTTTGTCTAGGGATCAATAATAATATCTGTAAAAATAGAAGAGGGTCAGATGTTATCAGTGTCAAATTCTTGTATCTGCAAGGGATAAGAGTACAGCCAAAGAAGCTTGTTACAAGATTAAAAAATGTAACAAAATAATACAAACTCATTTCCTTCAAATTATAAAGGGGTTTGTACTATGACGTCAAATTCACAAAAAATTCCTAAATTTAAATCTTAGGATGTATAATAATAATACTACCTCACTGCATAGCACATATTTTCATACCAATAACAATATTTTTATAATCTTATTTTTTGGTAGCCTATTCCACTTACAAATTAACATAGCTTCACCTTACATAATTCTATTTACTTTTCTTTTTAATAATACTATCAATGATTTGGGATCAATTGTGGTTTCTGTTTAACTAACCACCTCCCCCTCCCCTAAGTCACAACTATTAAGTGTTTATGTTGACTTAAGGGAGGAGTGGGAGGTCAGTTACCCAAAAACCTCCATTGATCTTAATTTTGTTATCAGTTTATCTGTACAATAACTATTTAAAAGTTCCACTGAACTAATCTAGTTTATTCACATGTGTTGTTGTTGTCGTTATGTAATAAAAAAGTATTGTTTTTTTGACAAAAGGAGTTGTTTCTCTTGTAGAGTAAGATGGGGAAGGAGCAAGAACCTTTCAAAAAACAATGACTGAAACCAGGACAAATATGAATGCACTTCAATGTGATTTTGGAACCTGGTGGGTGGCTTTCTTGCCAAACTCTGTTGTTAACAATATTGATTTTGACTAAGCTGAATATTCAACAGCTGAAGTTTCAAACAACTGGTTCCATGACGCGAACGGCACATGAAGGTGTAACTTGCAAACCCCTGTTGCTCCCCCCTGCCCCCATCCCACCTTCCTTCTGTATAAAAAAAGAAAAGAAAAACAATGGAGGCCAAAACATCACCCCCATAATCACCTGCTGCCAAAAAGCATTAGCTGTCTCACATTCACCACACCTTAGAGAGATAAAAATAGGTATTAAGTGCAAAGCTATGACCAGATCACCTCTCATTCACATCCCACAAAACAATAATATCATACCTATTGTATTTAATAGAGTTAAGTGAGTTGATCTGGTCCAAGTTTTGTACCTGCCCCTGAAAACTGAAAAAAAAAAACTAAATTTGTGTGGTAAATCACATACAACCAGTACAATATACTTCAACCTCAACATGGAAATCAACATTCACATCCCTTTCTGCTGATTTGAAATTAAAAAATCAGTTCATTCTGTGTGAAAGGACATCTCTATAAGACAGACATCCCTCAAAAACAATGACATTTAGGGTGCATTTCGATTGATCATATTCCGAATAAGAATACAAAACAAATAGTGACATCAAATTTTTGGACAATCAGAATGCTACAATCACCTTAATTTCTAATCTCCACCAGATTTCTGGATTTTACCATGGAATGAAAGCCAAAATAAGTGATTTTTAGAATCTGTTCCATGTGTTCTTATTCTGGAAAATGGTCAATGAAAAGAGCGCACTTAAATGTGGTACTTGTTTTTCTTCCTTCATTTTTCTTTGCTCTCTCTGACGAAGCTACCTCTGCGTGGATGCATAGAACCAGTCTATCTTGAAGGAAGTTAACTGTAATGTTTGCCTTGGCTCAATAATTATTATAAAAGTCGTTTCTGAGGTTTGTTCTATCGGATGGTTGGTCTGTTGCACTTGTAGCTTCCTGTTGCTGTTGCTGTTGCTGTTTGCGTTTCTTACAACTTGCTTGAACTAACAGAACAAAAATTGGCAAAAGACAGAGTCCACACACTCCAGCCATGACGTATGCTACAGTGAGGAGAGCTGTGTCAGAACTTTCTGTTTCTATATATTCACAGTCCACTGCATCTGAAAGAAAATAAAATAATATAAACTTTAAGAACAGCTTGCACGCATTAGTTTAGTGATCTCATGGGTCAATAAGCTGTTTACTATGTAAAAAGAATTTACCCCTTAACCCATTCAACCATAATACAAGCCTCCACAGTCATTGTCCCACCAAGTAAAAACCACAAGTTTTTTACGTAGTTGTTGTAAAGGCTTTTTGTTCAGGCTAAAGGTCATAATCAAAGAATGCCCTTACCTCTACTGAATGGTCCACTAACTTCAGAACTCGGGTTAAGGCGGCCTTCGGCTATGAAAAAAGTAAACATTACTTAACAATCAAATAATTGCAAATTTTAGTCTGGGACATTGAGTTGTAACAGCTATGACTATCAGTGTTTTCTTGAAAGAGTGCTGCCTTCATAATGTTGAAAGCACCACACAAAAAGGTGAACTTTCAGTTACAGCTGGCCTTGATTAAAGAGGGAATGCCACGAGGATACTGCTGTTTTAGGTCAGCTCTGTGCTGAAGTCATTACTTAGAGATTTTACCCAAACACAAAATACTTCTGTGCAGTTAAAAAGAAAATACTAAACAAACATCATTAGGAGGTGGAGGGGTGGGGGTGGGGTAGAGGAAGAGGAATGTTGATCTTCTGAAAAGAGAGAGGCTTTTATGTGAGGGAGACTTGCCAGGGGATTTATGACACGTAAAAACTGCCAGTAACAAAATCCCATGCCCATGAAAGAACTAAAAAATCTTTTATTTACCTCCACATGTTGTTGCGGCAAATCCTACTTGAACATTTTCTCTATCAAAAACCACATAAAATCCCTCCATGATAACAGCTCCTATTACTGTACCTAAATAACAAAACAATATTTTAATAATATTTCAGTTTATCTCACTCACAGAAACTTTTCCACAGCACCAGGGTAGGATAAGGTGTGTTAATGATGACACTAGAAGAGGATATCTTCAGTCATCATAAGTCAACCTTAACAGTCAAACCGACTCATTAATGCTTGAGTTCATAAAAGGTAAGTACTCCGACTACATGTAACTATCTGTTAGCGTATGCCACTGGTTCCAAGGAACCCTTGGCAGGCTTATACCAGACAATGTACAACTGCAATTTATCTCGTACTTTTTCTAGGATAGGCACCAAAATCACCACCCTATGTTCCTATCTGCGACTTAGCATTGAACCAGAAACATATTTATACGCTGTACCACTGATCAATCAATTTCCAATAACTAATTCTCTTGACTACTCTGAGAGTAAAATCCTTTAATTCCTATACCCTATCAGGGATTGAAAAAAAAGCCCTTCTGGTAGAAGAAAAAAGAAATTTCTTTCGCAATGGGCAAGGGTCCAGGCAAGTTATCATGGAATAAATTCTTTAACTACAGGTGATGTTACACGGGACGATTCGCAGCGATGATTCTTAGTGCAACACATCATTGCAGTGTTGGAACAATGTTGTAACCATTCGAAACAATGTCGCAGCAATGTTGCCATGCTGCATCGTGCTAAAAATCATCATTGCGAATCGTCTCGTGTAACATCACCTCAAGATGAGCAAGAAGTGACTGTGGGCAAGCACAATGTAAGAGCTGCTTGCCCAAAGGACAAGCTAGAATAATTCAAGTGTTTTTTAGCCCTGCCTATCCCAAATTAAACTACTTGAAAACCATACCATTTAGTTACCTTAGTAATAATTATTACTCTCATCTAGTTCTGTGTAATAAAGAAATCCTTCTTCAGATCATACCTTTATCAGCTTTAGTTATAGCAAACTTGTAACAGTGCTGACCAGGAAGAGGACCACGTTCTATAGTTTCTCTTAAGTAAAGCTGCCAAAAAACAAAATAGAATTTAGTGAGCCTTTACATAAGAAGAGAGTCCGAGCCAACAGCGTTCACACACGCTCTGATTGTCTACAACAAAGCTTGTCCTACTGTGATTGTCTCACCTTGACCGAGATGGCCCGGCTGAGCTAACCAATTGTGTTTACCGTATTTATTTGATTAATCGACCCTGAGAGTTAGAGCTTACTCAAGGTAAGTGCTCATTTGAAGCTGGGTGCTTGTTAAATTTTAACCATTTTCAGCAAGTGTAGTATGTATATTTTGCAACAAAACAATAAATGGTAAAATCAAAACACAAAGATGTAACAATGCAAGGTTTCTGTAAAATAACTGCGTCTTAGTACTATTACTTATTCAATTTTTTCTTTGGGTGGGAGGGGGAAGGGGAGGGGTGAGGGTGGGTGCTTATTTGAGTTGAGTGGAAGGGGGAGGGGGTGGTGTGTTAGTGGGCGCTAATTCGAGGCTGGGCACTTATCTGAATAAATACAGATAAATGTAAACAGTTTGACATGTTTTGTAAAGAAACATATGAAAAGATAGCTTGCCCAAGGTAGCTCCGGTAGGCGGGTGACTCATCTACCCACGACAACTACTCTCCATCTAAACAGGGCCTTAGTCACCTTTTCGGCTAGCACCAACAGGCATATGGTGAATCAATTTGTTTTTAATTTGCAAATATTACCTGTGGAGGAATTTTCAGCCTAAACTCCTTTGAATTGCTAATAGATGAGAGTAGAGATATGGACATATCTGGAAATTCCTCCCATGGCGTCTTGTCATAATTCCAACACATCATTTGTCGACCTATCCAGAACTCTTCTGGCACACCCAACTAAAAACATGACAGAATAAAATTAAAAAGGATGTTCATATTTTTGGATGATAATTGGAACATTGCTTGCTTCCACCACATAATTTGTACTTGTATTTAGGGACAAGTGAATTGTACAGAATGTGTCTTGCTAGGTATACACAGGGCCCAACGGAATAAAAGAAAAAACAAGTTTTTAATTTTCACTTTTGTGGCTCCTCCTAACCTTGATGGAATTACCTTTTACTCGCTTCAGTTATTGAGAAAAATAATACAAATCCACCTTGATTACAAAGTGGACCAAAACGGGTAGCCTAGATACCAATAATTTTCATGGGTGTTTTCACATGAGTCTGAGCACTACGGAGAAAGTGTGTGATGTGTCAAACTGTTTTGGCATGGCAATACAGCAATTAGCTTGAAAGGAAATGAGGTAAATTTGTGTGATAGAGACTCAAAATGGCTGCCATTCTCAACTTTTATCCTCAGTATTCTCAGGACACCCAACAGGTAACAAATATTTTAATTAGCAAAAAGTCTGGTGACTTTTAATGTCTCTATAAGTGATGTCACAAGTGACATAAATGTATACTGCTCTATTGATAATATCTTAGAATGAGAGCAATTACACAAGAAACAGTCACATTACCCCTTTTAGAATCTTTACCTTATCAAATTTCTTGAGTCGATCAAGAATTCCTTCAAACACTTCCTCTGACACTCTGAGGTTTGTAGTACCACTGTCAACTATTGTTTTATCATAATTGTACTGTGGAGATACATTTTTGGGAAACAAAATCAATACAACTACAACCTAGAAAATAGTGGTAAAGGTAATCCAAGGGTGAACTCCCATGTATGGAAAGTCTCTTGCTTTCCTTAGACAACATCTACAGGTGAATTCTGCTATGATCAAGACCTTAGCTTGATTTAGCCTAGTTCGACCACCATTGGAACATACAGCTATGGTCTGGGATCCTTACATGGAGATACAGCTATTTTGAGAAAGGTTGTCAGAAAAAATGTGCTCGCGACAATCCCGAAAGGTAATATGGGATATGCTTAATACACTGTTCCTGACACTGTAAAGCTGTTGAGCCTACTTTTGTTGCTTTCCTTTAGCACTCACAGACATATGTCCATGGCCTCCCATGACATTTGTTCAAATTTAGTTGAAAAACAATGAACTCAAAACCAGCCACAATACCATTTGGAATTGTTGCATGCCCTTTATCTGACAACCTTCCTAGAAATAGTTGTAAACATCAGGAAAATTGAAATGGTACAGAGCGAGCTGGCTGCTTTGTAGTCAGGAATTACGAAAGTACGGCTAGTGTAGGAGCAATACTTGATGAGCTGGGATGGAAATCTCTCCAAGGCAGAAGGAAAGCAAGGAGACTCTGCATATTGTACAAGCTACACTATGGCAACTTGGCAGCAGATAGAATGCCACAGCTAATCCCAATGCCGTGGGCTAGCAGTCATCTCAAATTTTCAAATGCATACAAAATACAATATTCAAGAACTAACTATCACAAGTACTTGTTTTTTTCATGCACGATAAGGGAATGGAACTCATTACCCGAAGATATTGCCACCCTGCAGAATTTGGACTCTTTTAAAAAAAGCAGTATTTCTATGACTGTATCCTTTTGTGTGTTTATTTTTGTTTACAGATTTATTTATTTATTTATTTATTTACTTTTAAAGACCCTTCACAAGAATCTTCATTTTTGAAGGAGGTGGGGTTTCGTGGTTGAAGAAGAGGAAAAAGAAGAAGGATAGGGCTGTCACTGAGGGCTGGGAGCAGGGGATTTCCCCTAGCTGCCATGAGCATGACTCCTAGCTACTTTAACAGGAGTCAAAAGGGAAATAAAACCATAAGAACTTTTTTACATGTACCTGTTCAATTTGCCATCTACTAATTAAATACATTAGAAATCTTATCGAAACAAACCTCTGAGAGGAGCATCTCTAGCATTTAAAGGGTAAATAATCTTTACCTTTTTACAATCCAAGTTAAGACTTTCTCCACCCACTGCGATGTCTGTGATCACAACTTCATAATACCATTTCTTAACTACTGGAGTGTAAAGAAGATCACCTTCATACAACTCTTCATCCACTTCACCAAAAACCTGTTGGGTTGGAGAATAGAAGGCTTCATCATCAGACAACAGAAGATCCATCTTAACGAACTTATCCAGTCTGCAGACAGTTCATGAAAAGACTTGTACATATTATTGTTTGCCTGTGGATGTAACGCAAGTCATAAAGCTCACAAATTTAATAAGATCTACATGGAGAAAAACCTTTACTTGCTTTCTATATAATTATGTAAACAATAATCTAGCTGTTACATACCTGTACACTGTACCACTTTATTAAAAACAATAATCATTTTGAAAGGTTGTAAACAAAAATAACTAAAATTACTATACGATTTATGAAAACGTGAGTTTAGAATGCTATCCATGAGTTGTGTCTTATGGCACATTCAATTGAGTGTATTCCAGAGTAAAAACACGCAAAAGTTTGTCATGAATCTCTTGTATTGTGATTTTTCAACCACTTAAATGTTACATACACTGGAATAAATAATTCATTTCAAGTAGATTTACAGACATTGCGAAGCAATGAATGCCAAATCATGATTTCTAGAGTTTACTCAATTTATCCTTATTCCAGACTCCCGTCAACCGAACATGCTCTTAGTAAAGCACTCCATCCTTTTAATAGCAATCTTACCATAGTTCCTGCTACGGTTGGTTCAGAGGAGAATTCAATTTCACTACTCCCGCAGAGTTGCATAGAAAATGAGTCCTTCACAACTCCATCATTGACAAATTGATCAAAGACAGGAAGCACACTTGAATCAGGCTAGGCAGACAGAAAATACAGTGTATTGTTAACCCTTTCAGTCCCAATAGTGACTAACAGCAATTTTCTCCTAACGATATCCATACATTGTCATGAGATGAGGTTATGAGAATTAATAAAATGATCACCTAAGAGAAAATACTTTGATCTTTTATCAAATTCTCTTAACTAATTCTTAAAGGAAATGTATAGAGATCAGTTTGGAGAATTTGTATGTGGATATTGGGGCTTAAAGGGTTAATAAACTCTGGAATCTTCAACGTGATAAGAGTGGGTGGGTAAGGGGGTTTCATCTCAATAAAAACTGTGAACTTCTGCAATGAGATGGCAGAGGAAACTGGATGGCAAACAGTGTGTAACAAACGTGACAATAATAAAATTGCATTTGAACAATTTTTCCACCAGACTTCACCTTCCTTTAAACAGATCTTTTTGTAAAGGGAGAATGATATCATAGTAGTAAATTTATTAAACTTTAAAACGTCATAATAAATCACATTCACTTAAATCCAAGTTTGAGGGGGTCTTATATCTGAGGGAGGGACCGGATATAATCAGCTGTATTTTTTTGTTTGCAGGAAGATAGACCTATAACTGGGAGGGTTTATAAGGGAGGGGTTATAAGCGGCTGCTGTTGGTAAGCAAATAACTAAAGCAATACTGTTAGATGTCCAGAAACGACTTACTTTAGATAACCTTGGATATCCCAGCCCAAGGATTCCTTCCCACATTGAGCCATTAATGTAGAAATTCTCAGAAGACATAATTGATGCGACATTGACCCGCACAGTTGCATTTGGACCCTCTACAAAGCGCAGTAAATCAGAGCCTAATTCTCCTTCCCAGTTTCCTTGGGTGTACGGCACAGCCACTGGCCTGTCCAGATCTGTGTATGAGGTGGACCTAAAGATAATTTTCAAAGCATTTCCGTCAAACTAAGGTTTGTTTCAAAGTTGTGCAACATCCATGTCAGAGTCACGGTACAGGGAAGCCAGAGCAAAGCACTGATAGATGCAAACTGAATATGTTTTGGGACAAGTTCAGACAAAAAAGTTTTCAAGATCTTAACTTTTGTTTAAATAATTTTTAACTGAAAAAAGTAAAAAATAGTACACAGGTATTTCGTAGTTTATACTACTACATGAGAAATTTCTGCAATTTGATTGGCTTAGAACAGTGGTATTTCATCTTAATTTGAAATACTTACATGTGAAAATTACAAACCTTTTCCGGGTAGTAGTATAAACAAATAATAGCATGATTTGTACTTGATATTTGGCATAAATACCACTCGTGATATTTCAAAATTGTCTCAAATTTCACTCGCCTAACGGCTCGTGAAATTACGTATAACAATTTTGAAATATCACTCGTGGTATTTATGCCAAATATCACTACTAATCATGCTATTACCTATACTAATATCATAGGTGACGAATTACTCCTTAATTTTGGCGCAAAATTTCAGCGATAATTTGTAATTTCACATGTGAAATTACAAAATTGCCATGGCAACCTTCTGTACGTCTCAGTGTCAAGATGGTGAATGGCGATGGTGAATGAAGATGTCAGGGCACAAAATGACACTTTAGAAAACCTGAACACACAAGAGAACATCAAGAAGGACTCTAACAGGTATTTTGCCGAAAAAGTCTGAAAAATTCTGAACTTTACAAGCCAAATTTAAGGTCTAAACATTTGAGAGAGTGGAGTTCTTGATCGATATGATCCAGGATAAACATGTCAAAAATCCAAGATTGCTAACGTAATTATTCGTCACCCATGATATTAACAGGTTATCAAATGGTATACTTATGAAATTAGGGAATAATTTCACTTGCGATTTGTCCAATCCTAATAATTTCCCTCGCCTAAAGGCTCGGAAAATTATAAGAATGTGGACAAAACGTGCGTGAAATTATTCCCTAATTTCACTCGTCACCATTTGATTACACTTACTAATTTTTTATTTCAGTTAATTTTTATTTTTCCACTTTTTTTGGGTATGGTAATGTACACTAACGAATTTTAAACAAAGGAAAAACAAAAATTAACTGCAACATGTACATTCAAACAACAAAGCTCATTGTCTGAAATGTCCCCATAATATACAGATGTCCATACATGTATATCTATGAGCTCTTTGAGGCTTGGTCAAGTTAGAACTGAGCCAGTGCTTAAAAGTAGTTGACAACAATAAAAATATTATTAAAAACTGAATCGTTGGATGATGCAATTTTAGAGCTCTGATCGGCTTAGCCATTATGGTATGTGAGCCATTATACCATGTTTTCCAAATATGATAACTGTACACATCCAGCTCAAAATTAAAAACAAGCTGAATATCCGGTTCTTACAAATAACGTTGGGAAGAATTCTCAATATCTTGTGTGCGTTTTTAATAAAACAATATGATTATTCCACTCGCGCTCACAGGATATGAGATGATCATAGCCAACTGATATCCAACATGCACTCGACTCGTGGAACAATAATTGTTCAATTATATAATTCAATTATTGTTCAATTATATAATTCAATTATTGTCAATTATACAATGTAAAGTTACTTGAATTTCACAACTTTTCTGACTTACTTGTCTGCGTGGAAGTAAAAGGGTAGGTATGGGTGTGGTGAGGCTGCAACTGCAAAGTTGCTACTTCCTGTATCAACGAGGACATTAATCTGTAAAAAGAATATGACAAAAAACTGTGATAAGAACAACCAGGGCTCAAGGTTAACTTTTATTGCACTTGCAAAGTTTTGCTGGTAAGATTTTTTTCCATTAGCAAACTTGTGAGACCACTAGCAAATTCTTTCCCTTTGTTTGGGAGACATCAATGATTCTAACTCGCAGGTTATCAAAATCACTCGCTCTTCGTGAGTTTGCAGGCGATAATTTCGAGCCCTGCATGATTAAAAAATATGGCGGCAGGCTAGAGTGAATTTGAAGTGATTCCCTTTTTTAATCACCTTTCTCTTGAAGTTGTTTGTAACGAGATGAAACTTGTTCTGTGTACAATCGCTGAAGCTTCCACTTCCAAACTTTTTATTATGTTCGATTGCTAAAGTGTTCAATTGTGTTTGATTGGCGAAAGTTTTGGGTGAGTTTGACTATATGTATGTTCGATTACTGGACCCAATCGAACGATTGGAGTTCGATTGGGTTTGAATACTGAACATTCGATTGACTACGCCAGGATAGAAATAGAAAATTATTGTTTAATTATCTGGAATTTATTATCACTATTATGTCTAAAGTGAAATTTAGGCATAAAGATAAGAAGTTTAAAGAAATAATGATCACAGGAAAATAATATAAAATAAATACAATTTTTATCAGAGCCAACATGTCCTTCTTTATGAAAGTTTTGAAAATACAAGAAAATAAACTTACAGAATAATGATGTTGATTTCAAATCTTATATCTATCAATTACAAACAGCAATTTTTTTAATCCTTCAACCTTTTGAGAAGGGAAAACTAGACTATATATGCACTTCACATAATTTATTTATCCTTCAAGCTGCTCGTTTAGTCTGAAAGGATATAAATGTACTGAAAAATATGTTTCACCAAACAGCATGTATAGAGCTTTGCAAACATCGAACGTCATTCATATTGTGCGTCCTCTCTTAAAACGTTTTACAATATTCAAGACTGATTAAAAAACATGCCTCGATCGAAGCGCTCAACATAATTTCATACCCAACAACTAAATTATCAGCAATAACGGTGCGTAAAATACTCCTTCAGTATCGAAATAAAATGTGTATAAGCATAAGTGAAGCCGAAGGTTTGGAAGATAAGTGCGTTTAAGCAACAAAACATCATACATCTGTCCGTCGACTGTGAAAAGAAACCCACATCAAGGATATCTATTTCAACAAACTAATAAACTTCTTGAAGTGAAGCTATACCTAGACATAAGCTAAACTTTTAATAGCATTACACAGAAACCACTACGAACTAAATATGATTGATAGGAAAACTTGAAAAGGACAACTGGGCAAAGAAAAGTTATTTTTTAAGCCCAAGCAGAGAGGTGTTAAATTACAGAGGAAGATCATACATTCATCACGCGTAAATATTAAGTGTGCCTGTACTTACTCGCTGAGCGGGAGTACCTAGATCGGTTGCGATGAAATAACCTTGCCCAGGACGACCTTTTAAGTTTTCAGTAGGATTTCCGCGGCTATCTCGCAGGTCCCTTTTCGTTCGCCGAAGAGGGACGCCATAACTTCCCTTCTTTGCAGCCGAAGCGATGTCGAAGCACAAAATGAGCAAGAGAAATGCACGACATGATTGCGGGTAGATTTTCCGCATAGCGCGCTCTTTGAAAATCACGTTAAAATCCGATTGTGATGGCTTCTAACACCAAACTGTCCAAATGTCTTTACCCTAGGTAAGCCCTTCGATGCCAATCTACGGTTATTGCTGTGCGCATTTTGAGTGAAGAAAAACATCTTCACGCCATCTTGGAAGTTTTTCAGCAAGGCGCGGTTTCCATGCGATCCGCAAAGGTCCAAGCGGCTCTTGCATCCGAGTTCCGGTTTAAATCATCGGAGCTAAATATAGAGTATGAACTTTACGAAAAGTGAACATCATTTCTCTACAAAGTTCAAGGACATTTTCTTTAAGGTCTGCTGTTGCTGTAGACTTCCTGTTTTTGATATCGTTATAAAGATCTACAAAGTTCAAACGTTCTGCTGACACCGGAAGTCGTTTACTGCTTCCGTATCACGTTCACGAAAATCGCGCTTACTTGCCGGGATTTGCATGGCAAAATTTGCCAAAATTGACAAACGTACCAAAGTTTTTAATAAAACTGATAGCGCATATTGTATATTAATTTTGGGAAAATTGTGATTTGGGAAAGTTGAAGCTTTTTAGATCGACATCGCTGAAGGAAATTCTCCACTGAAGCAAAACATTTGTGCCGTGGAAGAGATAATCCTCTCGAGTTTGTTTAGTCTACCGACAGTACCTTTGAGAGAGAAATGACCAGAATAACAGAATAAAACTTGTAACTTTGACCTATTTGCAGTTCAAAGCAAGAAGTACAGTCAAAAGTGGAACTCACTGCACTGTAAATGAAAACCGAACAAATAGCAATGAAAGACTGGGAAGTGGGAAATGGAAAAGGAACGAATATAGGCCCCAGTCCTCCCAT